AGGGGTGGGTTTTGGGTGGGGGTTGTAGGAATTGGGAATGTTTTAATTACTGTATTTTAATTTGCTGTAAGCTGCCCCGATTGCGTTGCAGAGGGGCGGGTTAAAAATAAAATTTTATTATTATTATTATTATTTTATGTCTTAGCAGCTCCCGCAATAAAGAAATCCTTCCTTATGTTTAGGTTTTTAATTTCAACCCACTGGTCTGTGTTTGAGTCTCTGGGTCATCAAGGAAAAAAAGTTTGCCTCATCTTCTACATGAAATCTTCTACACTAAAATAATAATAGGAAATTTGTTAAAGTCCTCGGGGCGGTGTAGTATTGTTTTAAAGCATACGGTTTTCAAAGTAATTTTATCATTTAAAAATTGTATTCTATTTTTAAACAAATGATCTTTTAAATATTGGAATAGTTTAATACCATTTTAATTGTCAATTGTGTAGGTTTTTGATTGTACTATGTTTTTTAGAGTGTGAGCTGCTTTGGGCCCCACTCTTGGGAGGAAAGCAGGATAGAAATAATAATAATAATAATAATAATAATAATAATAATAATAATAATAATAATAATAATCCCTTCAGATCATATCACCTCTCAGGGGCTAGGAAGTGAGCAGCATCTCCCCTAGGGGGCATCTACACTACAGAAATAATGCAGTTTGATACCACTTTAACTACTATGGATGACTTCATCCTACAGAATCCTGGGATCTGTAGTTTTTGTGAGGCATCAGCACTCTTTGGCAGAGAAACTTAAAGACCCTGTACAAGTACAAATCCCAGGATTCCATAGGCTGGAGCTCTATTCCCTAAAGCGATATCAAACTGCATTATTTCTACAGTGTAGATGCAGCCTCAGACTTCTCTTTTCCAAACTAAACATGCCCAGCTCCTTAAGTTGTTCCTCATGAGGCATCATTTCCAGATAAAGAGCATTCCTGGAAAGAATGCTCTTTAAAATAACAAATAAAAGACACCAATGTCCAATTATTAGACTCTATTATATAAATACCATGAATGTGCCTATTTGAATTTATCCTCCTTGAAGCATCTTGTAAGTTTTACAGCCGCTGTCTAATAATGGTTGGATCTTCAATGGGCAAATTTACCGGAGTTTAAATTTCACTCCTGGCTCAACCCTGAAGCTTGCTTCTCAGAGCCACATTCAGGCCCCTTGATATATGAAATATTAATAAGGAAAAGAGTACCCATATGCAGAGTGCCAGTTTTTTAAAATAAAATAAAATAAAGTAGCCATTTTATCTTCTCGCACAGTACCCCCCCATCCAAAGGAAAAAGAAAGGACCATAGGGTTCAAGACAGGCTTAAGACCTCAAAACAGGAATAC